CCCCTGCCTCCAGGTCTGGGCGGCTTCCACCTCTCCCGTCAGGCCCACAGAGGTCCCCCACCCTCCAGCAGTCTGGGAGGGTCTCTCAGAGGAGGTGGCCTTCCAGTGGGGCCCCAGTAATGTAAGGTCTTGGGTAGCTGAGGTGTGATGGTGGGCTGGGGTGGGGGTGGGGGTGGAGAGAAGCCTGGGCAGCCAAGGTACCAGGCACCTCCTGCCACAAGCTGCCTGAGCCTCCTCCCTCCCTCCCCATCCCATCCCAGCTACCCACGCCTGACAGCTGCCAAGGGCTCCCTGGCTCACCCTCTTTCTCCCTTCTGCATCCCAAGACCCCAGTCCAGCACCCTTCCTGTGCTCAGCCTGGACCTGCAGTGAGCTGAGAGCTGCTTACCTGTGCTGGGAATGTCCCTCCCCTGGGGACTTTCTCAAAATCTGAGCTCCAAGCTACACCCAAACTCTGGCCCAGGAACCTGGGAACCCTCTCAGCCTCAGTTTCCTCATCTGTAAAATGGAAATGTTAGGTAGCTAGAGGCAGAAACCAGGGGTTGTCTTTCTATGTGGCAAGGCCTCCCCCCAACTCCCCACCCCCTTACAGGAAGTTGGAAGCTGATCAAGGCTAGAGGTCACACACAAATTCAGGCCTTTGAGCCAGGAAGCCAGTACACCTGGAATGGCCCAATCTAGGCCAGGTGGGTTTAATTCAGCCAATGGAGTCAACTGGTACCATCTACCACGCCTCCTAGTGGAGGGCCCTGCAAGTCAGAACCAGGAGCCACTACCCGCTTTTCCAGCTGCTCCTTGGCCCAGTACTGTGGTTTTCTCTGGCCTCAGGTTTCCACGCTTGGGTGTGAAGTTCCCTGAGGATGCCTCTTAAAACCTGAAACTTCTTCTATCCTTTATAAAAACTCACTTGGATAACAAACCAGGCTTCCTCTGAATGCTTTCTCATGAGAAGCCAAGGATGAGGAATTTCCACCTGAGGAATCTAACAGGAACACCAGAGCCTGCCTCCCCCGTGGTGGGTGGTGGGGACACTCACTGGCTCTTGCCCCCCCTCCCCTGCCCCCCTTGACTCCTTTTCTCCCGCCAACCTTGGCCATCTGCTCCTCCGGAGAAAGGAGGCTGTGTGCCCCCATATAGATTCACAGCCTGGAAACCTTGCACAGGGCACCGTGAGTCAGAACCACTCCACGAACTGGCTTAGTTTTGGGTTCCAGCCTAGTGTAGTCATGCAGCTTAGCTTGAAGAACTCCATTTTGTTGAAATTGCCAACCTGGCCATCTCTCATCCCACCCTACAGCCTACAGACTCTGATCCACAAATACTCTTGCCAGATAAGCACCTCCGACCTTTGACAGACCTTGACCCACCTGCTCCAGGATGTCCCTCTAACCCAGTGGCTCTCAACCTTCCTAAGGCCCTTTCATACAGTTCATGTTGTGGTGACCCCCCCCAACCATAAAATTATTTTCGTTGTTACTTTATCACTCATTTTGCTACTGTGATGAATCATCATGTAAATATCTGATATTCAGGATATATTTTCTTTGTTACAAATTAAACATAATTAAAGCATAGTGATTAATTACAAAACAATATGTAATTATATATTGTGAAATATTTATTTCCAATGACAAATAAATGACATTTTGTCTTGAAGCATGGTGCAGCATGGGTCTTCACGCATGGGTACTGGTCTGTGGGCGTATCTGCATGTGGGCGGACCCACCTGGAGACGGATAGAGGAGTGGTGTCTGGTTCCTAAGACCATTGGAAATATGTGTTTTCAGATGGTCTTAAGCGACCCCTCTGAAAGAAAGGGTCGTTTGACCCCCAAAGGGGTCCAGACCCACAGGTTGAGAACTGCTGGTCTAACCTTCCTGGTAGCCTGTCTGTCAGATAGGCGAGGAATGTAGTCAATCTTGACAAACCCTGACCCAGGTGTCCTCTCCTGACCCCACCCGAGCCCCTCCCAATGTCCTGTCTGCAAAGAATGTAAGGAAGAGCTGTTTGCTCCAAATCTGGCCCCTGCTCTCACTACTGCATAAAGGTGGTCTGTGCCCTTGATCAGGGTCGGAGTGCTTTCCCAGGCACCAGTCCTTTCTGGCCCAGCTAGCTGAACAACAAGGCTGATTCTGTCGTTTTAAGAGTAGTGTGGTTTGATCTTGCTCCCGTATTACACTAGCGCCCAGGAAGTGCACCGGGTGCTCTAGATACACAGCAGAGAACACGCCTCCAGAGGGAGGGGGAGAGAACCCCATTACCGCCCGGGTGAGGACTGGCCTGTCAGCCCCTGACACTTGGACAAAGTACTCAGAAACGCGGGACCCCAGTGTGGGCTACTGGGCCAGACACCTGGCCGCTCTTACCCACTGGCCACCAGGTAAGGTGTGAGGAGGGGTGGGGACTGGCCTGAAGAAGCAAAGGGGCGGGGGCGGCCCAGCGGGAGCGTGGGTCACGTGATGACCAAGGCTGTCACCACGTGGACAGCGACAGGACTCTCACTCCCCCCAGGCTGGGCTTGCAGTGGCCATAGGCCACCCCCTGGGTCGCTTCTGCCATCATCCTGCTACCTTCCCACCACGCCTCGGCTCCCAGCATCCCTTTCGGGGCACAGGTGTGTTGCTCCCAGGTGAGAGTCCCGGAAGGGAATGCTGGGATCGCAAGGGGCGGCAGCCCTGGGATTTGGGGAACGGCCACCCGAGTTCCTCCCGCCCTGACTCACACCCTCCCAGCCCCTGTGATCCGGCGGCCCCCTGGGTGTGGGCAGAGCCCACTCAGGTATGTGGGGGTCTCCGCGGCGCTGCGAAGGAGGAGGCAGGAGGGAGAGCGCGGAACTACGGTTGCTCCCTGGCCCACTGTCCAGGCCCTCCCAGGCTGCAGGGGAGGGGGCGCGGCGCGGGCGTACAAGGGCGGGGCATGGAGAAGGCGGGAGACTGGTTTCAGGGGCCACTGGGGGAGACGGGGCGGGTCTAGGCTCTGGGAATCTGCTGCCCCCTGGACTGGGCGGTGACTGAGGAGGGAGGTTCCAGGAAATGGTCCGCGCCCAGCCCCTCCCTGGCCGGCTCAGGGCTCAGGAATGGCAAACTGTGGCTGTCCTGGAGAGGAGCGATCCTGGCGGGTCCCAGCCGGGCCAGGAGGAGTGTGGGAGAAGACCCCGCCAAAGATGTGAGGCTGTGGTGGTGGGCGCGTGGACCTGAGGCCTGCCCTCCTGGGAGGAGCCAGCGGGCCCCTCCGTCTCTTTCCTCTCTGAGAACCGAAGTGCCCACTGCTGGCCCCTGATACCCTCCCCCAAAGTGCTCTTGCTCTGCCCCCACCCCACTCCCGGAGAGGAGGAAGGGTGCGTATTGGGAGGCCTGGGTCCCCGTATTGTCCCTAAGTGCCAGAGGGGCTTGTTGTGCATGTGGACCTGAGCCTGGCCCCCGGGGAGCTCCCTGCGGGTGGGGGTGGGGAGAGCAGCGACAGGGCAGAGCTGGACTGGGCCAGGCTCCCGCTGGGCTCTTGGTGGGGATCATGTGGCGGTACAAAGGCAGTCTGACCCGTACAAAGGCAGTCTGTTGTTTAATGCCACTCCCCTTGTGTGATGGAGCGTGGGGGGTGAACTCCTGGGAACTGGAGGTTTTTGGTGGCCTGGTGGGGGTGGCAGGGACTGAACAAGGGTTGTGTGTGTGTGTGTGTGGGGGCTGAGTAGGACAGCCTGCTCTGGGCCCGGGCCTCCTCCGGTGCATGAAGCCTATGGGGGCCAATTTGTCCCACCAGCAGACAGGCCTCAGAGCTGCCCTGACCCTTCTCTTGCCCTTTCTGACCAAGAGGGCAGCGTCCCCCGGGCGGCAGCGCCCTGGAAGCCACGGACGTCCCACCCCTTCCCCTTTTCCCAGGCACCTGCGACACCGATACAGAGAAAACAGACGGCGACCTGAGATCTCCACACCCTTCCTTCCGGCCCCTTCTTTCCTTCCGGCCCCTTCTTTCCTCCCGGTCTAGGGGCTTCCCCTGACCCGCAGCCTCTCCAGCTGGAGGGCGGGGCCTCCTTAGGGCCACCCACCTGACCCTGCAGAGAGGCGGACCTACGGCAGCCTGCGCTGGAAGAGGCCCCTCCCCGGGGCCCAGGGGAGCGCGGGTCTGGGTGTTCCGTTTGGCCCGCTTTGTAACCAGACTGCTCCACTCCTCAGATGGACGGCGGGAGGCCGGGCCCATGCTCTGAACTGCTCTAGGTCTACAGGCACCCCGTGTGGGACTTCAACATGGCCTTTGCCCTCGAGGTCCCTGAGACCTTGGAGGACTGGGGGTAAGAGCTTTGAGGTTTGAAGCCTGCTAGGTCCCCTCCCCTGCTGTCCTGGGACGGGCCAGGACTGAGCTGGGGCCCCTGACTCACACTCCGCTCCCTGCCCCCTTGCCGCAGCCAGGAACCCAGCCCCTATGATGAGGACGAGGTCCACCACTCCTTCCACCAGCTTATTCAGGAGCAGAGCCAGTGGGCGGGGGCCTCAGGGCCCGAGGAGGCCGGGCTGGAGCTACAGGAGATGGGGCTGGGGTCCAGCACCCCCGGGGCCCCAGGTGAGCAGGATGGAGGGAGGACTGGCCAGGATGGAGCTTGGGGACTTTGACTGACTCATGTGGACAAACCTTTCTTGCTGTTACAGGTGGGGACCAGCAGGTGACCCCAGGGCTCGGGGACACGCCTGTGTACAGCGCAGCCACCCTCCGCATCCTGGCCAGCATGCCCAGCCGCACCATCGGTGAGTGGTCGGGGACTCCGGCAGGCACCAGAGGCCCGCCCGCATCATGTAACCCTCTCCAGCAGGCCCATTGTAAAAACTCCCTGGGGAGGGGCGTAGGCAGCCCATTCTTCTAGGGGAAGGGGGGAGGCCTGGGGCCGAGGCGCTGACCTCCGGAAGCCCGGCAGTCGGGCTCCCACCCTGACCACCCCCTACCCACGCAGGCCGCAGCCGCGGCGCAATCATCTCCCAGTATTACAACCGCACCGTGCGGCTGCGGCGGCGGCGCGCCAGCGGGCAACTGCCCGGGGGCGCCCGGCCCAGCCTCCGAGCACATGACCTGGAGCTGGACCCCACGGCCCGCAACGAGGAGGGTGAGTGCTGGCCAGGCAGGCCGGGAGACCCTCAGCAGGGCTGTGGGGCAACCTCCCTCGGTACCATGACCCCTGGGCTCGCACTTAGTCATCGGGGACTCATTCGCCCCCAAAGTACAGGTGGACCCCGACTTAGGATGCGGTTCTGAGAGCCCCACAAGAAGTCGGTTCTGACAAAAGTCAATATTCTTTTTTCCCTCCCTATCTTCATTATTCCTGACTTTACTCTCGGTATCTTCATAAATCCTATCTTTGAACAAGGGAACATCTGAGAAAGCTAACTGCTGCAAGTTACAAGCACACCATCAAGTTATGCAAGGCAACATTGTATCCATTACAAGCACCCAGCAAAGTTACTGTGAGGCAACATTGTATCTAGTACATAGCACTTCCTAGCCACCGCAAGTTGTATCCAAAAACCCAACAGCCAGTGAAACGCAGTCCAGTCCTGTGCGTGGTTTATAAACTTGAATGGGTCCTAAGTCGGATCTGTTTATAGCAGGGGGCTTTAAGAAGTTCCTGGGAAAATTCCAGTATCTTTTCATATTTTTTGAAGCACCTTCATATGCCCTGGTGGTATAGTGGGTAATGTATTGGCCTACTAACAGCAAGTTTAGCAGTTCGAAACCACCAGCCAGCTCAGAGGGAGGGAGATGAGGCTGTCTACTCCTGTAAAGAGTTTACAGCCTCAGAAACTCACAGGGCCAGTTCTACCCTGTCCTATAGAGTCATTGTGAGTTAGGGTTGACTTGATGGCAGCGAGTTTGGGTTTTGGTTTTCATGTCTAAATTTTGGGTGGGCGACAGGTGGGTCAGGACTGGGACGGGATTTGGCCTGGACGTGGTGGGAGGAAGGTTCGGAGGTCGCTGAGGCCCTGTCCCACGCCTGCAGAGAAGCGCAGTCTGCTGATCAGGGAGCTGCGGGGCCTGACTGGGGTGCAGCAGGACCAGATGCTTAGAGGGATGCCCCTGAGCCTGGCCGAGAAGCGTTGTCTGAGGTCAGTGTGTACACTGGAGTGGGGCAGTGGGAGAGCTTGTTAGGCCCCTTCTCCCTTCAGGCACCATGGCTGCTTGTGCCCACAGAGAGGAGAGCCAGATCCTGAGGAGGACTCCGAGGGACAAGGTGGACGGGCGAGGCGTCTGGTCCTGCTGCAGCCAGCTCAAGTATGGCTGTGTCCTGGTAGGAGCCTTGGGGTGCTGGGCTGGGCGGCTTCCATCAGGCATGGGGTGAGGGCAGTAGTGGGGCTGGGATATTCTTTTGTCTGCCTCTACCCTTCCTCCATGGGGCCCCCAGTAGGGATCTCCCCACCTGGGACTTCCCCCTGCCTTGGTCTCTGGACCCCCCTCAGGACCTCCCTGCCCCTGCTGTCCCCACAGGCCATGCACAGCCTGTGGCTGCGGCTGCTGGGGCAGCTGCCTGCCCTGAAACCCTGGCACTACGCCCTGAAACGGATCGGGGGCCAGTTCGGCTCCAGTGTTCTCTCCTACTTCCTCTTCCTGAAGACCCTGCTGGTCTTCAACGCCCTCCTGCTGCTGCCCCTGCTGGCCTTCATCGTGGGTGTGGGGGCCGCCTTCCCCCCGGAGGAGCTGCCCCGCCCCACCCCCACCTTCACTGGGCTGGAGCTCCTTACGGGAGGGGTGAGTGCTGGCCCCCCCCACCCCCCCAGGGAGGCCAGGGTGGTGAGCCCTCCACCCAGAACTGGCCCCTCCAGCAGCTGCTGGGCCTCTGCTGAGGGGGTGGGGCCAGAGGAGAGGGAGCCCTGACCTGCAGGCCCCTCGGCAGGGCTATTTCACCAGCACCGTCATGTACTACGGCTACTATAGCAACACCACGTTGAACGAGCCATGTACCTCACCACTGGAAGGCAGTGAGTGCACTCCTGAGGCCGGTGGGCTGCCCTACAGCATGCCCCTGGCCTACCTCTTCACCGTCGGTGCGGCCTTCTTTATCACCTGCATCACCCTGGTGTACAGGTACCAGTCCTCCGTCACATGGCCTGCCTCTGAATGCCGCCCCTTTGTCCCCTTACCTACCCACCTGCCTGTTGCCCATCCATCCACCTCTGTCCGGCAGTCCACTCACTTCCCCCAGCCCCCTCCCTATATCCATCTGCATCATTTGTTATCTATCCATCCATTCATTCATCAACCCATCCATCCATCCATTTGTCCACCAATCACCCGTCTATCAATTCATTCATTGAATCTTTCATCCATCTGTCAATCCATCAATCTGCCCCATTCATCCATCTACATCCATCATCCATCCACGTATATAATGATCCAACTATCATATATCCATCTACATTCATTCATCCACCAAGACACCACTCATCCATCTAGTCCACGCACTATCCAGCAATCCCTTCATCCAACCATCAAATGTCTACTTGTAGCCACCCATCACTCATCTATCCATTTATTCATCGATTCATCTAATAAGGCTGTCCATCCATCAACTCATCCATTCACTTACCCATTCATCACCTGCCCCCTTCACCCATCCACATTCACCCGTTACCTGTCCATCAATTCATAATTGATCCATCCATCCATCCATCCATCCATATCCATGCATTATCTACCCATCCATTTATTTTTTAGTGATTATTTGAGTTATCCACCCATCCATTCACCCATCCATCCATCCACCCATCCATCCATCCATCCATCCATCCACCCATCCATCCATCCATCCATGTATTGATCCATTGATCTAGCCATCTATTTATCGGTCAATCTATCCATCCATCAGTTCATTGATTGGTCCATTATTCTCTCCCTTAGTCCTCCCACAAATGTCCCCAGTCCCCAGATGCAGGCAGGTCAGTAAAGGCACTTGGTGCCAGTCCTCCAGCAGCTGCCTAGGGAAGAAGACAGGCCAGTGAGCCGACCAGGGAAGTCCGAGAGCCCCAGAGGGTTTGCCTGAGCGTTAGGGAAGCAGGGATTGAGGGGCTGGGTGGGGGTGGGGGTGAGGGCTGCTGGTAGAAGAATGGGCAGAGAAGAAGGGGGCAGGCATTGGGCAGTGGAAAGGCCTTTAGTGAGTCCTGTCTGTCCCCTCAGGGCCGGTGTGGTGGAGCCACACAGAATAGCTCTAGAGAGCCCAGCAGTGGCCCACACGGGCCCTGAGCGCCTGTACTCAGGGGCTGGGGACCCCCGGGGGTGGGAGATAGGGCTCAGCTCTATCGTTGTCCTGGTCCTGTGCTCACCCATCTGCTGGCTCTGCCTACCGCCCCAGCATGTCCCGCTCTTTTGGGGAGAGCTACCGGGTGGACAGCAACTCGGCCGTCCATGCCATCACCACCTTCTGCTCCTGGGACTATAAGGTGACCCAGAAGTGGGCCTCCCGCCTGCAGCAGGACAACCTCCGGACCCAGCTGAAGGTGGGCAGCTGGGAAAGGCCAAGGGTCACTGGCTCCTCCCCAAAAACACAGCCCCCACTGCCCAAGCGGGTTCACCTGGACCTGGCGGCCAGAACTGATGGCGGGACCTTGGTGCTCTCTGCCAGATGTGGGCAGGGTGTGCACCACCCCCTTCACCCACCCCACCCCCGCTGGTGAGGAACGGGCAGGTGCCCCCACCTGGAGAAAACGCACCGACATCTGAGGCCCTCCTGTGTCCCTCCCAACTGTCCTAGTGTGTGTGTGTGTGGGGCTCTGTGGCCTCCCAGCTGTGTTCCAGGAGGGGGAGACTGGTCTTTGCCTGGGGGGTAGGGGTTGCTGGAGCAGTGTCCCCCGCTCCCTGTGTCTCATGTATGTGTGTCTCTCTCTGTGTCAACATGTGTCCCCCATGCCCCGTGTGCAAGTCCCTGTGTATCTGAGTGTGCTTGGCCCCCTGATGACACCCACCCTCCAGGAGCTGCTGGCTGAGTGGCAGATGCGACAGGACCCCCAGAGACTGTGTGCCCGTCTGCGGTCGGGGGCCGTGCTGGCCTGCGTCTGGCTGCTGTGCCTGGGGATCACACTGGCCTGTGCCCTGGCCGTCTAC